AAGAGCACTTGCTGCTCTTCCAGAGGACCTGGGTTCAGTTCCCAGTACCCATATGATGGCTAACAACTGTCTGTATGCACGTGATACACATACATTCACTCAGGTACATGCACATAAACTAAATCTTTTTTTTAAAAAACTGGATAAGTCCAGTGTGGTGGCACATGCCTTTAATCCCAGCACTTGGGAGGCAGAGGCAGGTGGATCTTTGTGAGTTTGAGGCCAGCCTGGTCTACATAGTGAGTTCCAGGACAGCTGGGGCTATAGGGAGACCCTGTCTCAAAAAGACAGAAAAAAAAAAAAAAAAAAAAAAAACAACAACAACAAAAAAAAACTGGATAAAACACGGGGTCAAGTATTATAAAACCCAACCTATTTGGTTAGATACTGTTAATGATGCTTTGATTAAAAGGTGCAATTCCGGGCTGGAGAGATGGCTCAGCGGTTAAGAGTACTGACTGCTCTTGTAGAGGACCCAGGTTCAATTCTCAGCACCCACATGGCAGTTACAAACCCTCCTTAACTCCAGTTCCAGGGGAGCCCAAAGCCCACTTCTGACCTCCGCAGCATTGCACGACATGGGTACACTCACATGCATGCAGGCAATACACTCTACACATAAAATAAAAATAGTAAAATATTAAAAAAATAAAAGGTGCAAATACTATTTCATCACTTCCTACAGCTCCCAAATTTTACTTATCTGGCATTTGTCCTAAGCTACTTTAAGTCAGTAATATCAAAGTGTCCCAACTTTTCCGAGGCTTTACTGCTGTCCAGTCACATTTTCGCCCATTAGGAAGTACATTCAATCTTAACCACCCTTCAGAAAGTTATAAATGTGGTCACCTGAGATTACCCTCACACAAACTGAAAGACACAATATGAATAAAGGAAAGAGCACAAAATTCAGGGTCAGCAAAAACTGTTTTCCAATCCTGGCTCATCTGCGACAGCACCCTCTAACAAGTGCTCCCACCTGCTCAAGTCTAAAACAACAGTTCCACAATCTTGTCTGTCTACCTATGTTTCAAAATGCTCTGTAAAGCACCCAAATGATAATAAAATAAAATATATAAAAATTCAATCTGTAAATGAAACATTTCAGCTACTGACCCCAATGTCATATTCATTAATGTGTTTCATTAATATTCATTGCAAGTAGAATAAAGTTATCATAATTAAGTCTAAACCTGTGACTTTTTAAATTATGCAATACCGACAAGATTTTTTTTTAAATAAAGAGGGTCATCCCTAGGTGTTTCAATAGCTGGTGTGAGACTGCTAAATAAAAGGCCTCAAAAATTTTTCTTAATATTTTATTTATTATTTTAATTTTATGTGTATGAGTGTATTGCTTGCATGTATTTAAGTGTACCTGTGTTATGCAATGCCCACAAAGGTCAGAAGAGGGCATCAGATCCTCTAGAACTGGAGTTACTGAGAGTTGTTAGCTGCCATGTGGGTGCTCAGCAAGAGCAGCCAGTGCTCTTAACCACTGAGCCATCCCTTCAGCCCTGGTCTTAAAAAATTCTGACATAGGGCCAGTGAGATGGCTCAACAGGTAAAGGTACCTACCTATTAGCCTGTCCACTTGAGTTGGATCCCTAGGACTCACATGGTGGAAAAAGAGACCTACCTCACACTTAAAAGCAGTCCTCTGACCTCTACACTTGCACCATGGCACACAGGCACCCGTATACATGCACCCAAAATAACATAAAATGTAAAAAGAAAACCAACTTAATATACACTATTCTGTACACACTGTTAACTCTCCAGCAATTCAACCAATTTTATCTAGCTATCTGCAGTGGTTTAATATAAACACCTCACGTCACTAAAGGAGCAATACTGCTTCCCAAAGCAGCAATTCTGATTTAGAAAAACAGCATTTTAAACACAAACCACAGTCATAGCAAAAGACCACCATTCAATTTTAAAAAGTTCTGTAATACAGAAAAATAAACAATTACTAATTTTTAGTGTTAAATAAGTCTCAATGCTTAACTTAAAAAATTTAATGCAGCACAAATCATTCAATTTAAAAATCCACTTTTATTTTGTGACTTCAACGTTTCATTATTCATTACCTGTAACAATTCCCTTTTTCTACTGGGCCAAAGTTGCCCAGTATATTTGGTGTCCTTTCAAAAGACACACAGGAAGAAAGAAAAACCAGACAACACAGAGACTTTAAAATATCAAGACTAAAGGAAGACTGGAAAAGAGAAACTGTTAAGGGGAAAGACAAAGAGGTAAAAGGAGGAAAGAACAGCAACAACATCTGTCCTTCCAGACCTAAGGGTTACGTTTACAAAAGAGAGATGTTTCCAGAAAGTGAATCTTAGTGTTACACAACAGAAAGCAATAAAAAGGCCAACAGGAAAAACATAACTGAGACAAACAGCATCACAAATATTCCAAAGCAACCACATAAACATGTACTTGCCTCTGACCCAAATCATTTTTATGTAAAAGAAGTAAATACAACTAATCAGGTCGTGTTTCAGTGCTAAATAAACCATAATCATAAATCTTAAGTTATCATGGAAATTTCCTTACCAACCATCCAGTTCAATTCCCGTATTTCTCAGAAGAAACTGAGATCCTGTCTTGTAACATACCTACAATCACCTATGACTGCAGGACTCAGGAAGGCTGGGAGTCCTTTGTTCACTCATCCCCCTTATTTTATAAGCTATTCAGTCATAAACCACAAATTTAAAATGATAGTTTTGTCAAGACTAACAGAAGTACACACTTCATACCACAGCACTGTTCACACCAATCTAAAAACAAAATTAGTATAACTCAGAAGGAAAGCAACAAAATGTCCTAACTAAAGAAAAAAAAACCTGCAGTATTTTGAAATTTTTGGCCACTTAGATCAAAGAACATAACGGTCAAAACTGAAAGTTCTTCTTTGGATCCACGACCATAAGAAGGAATGTCCAACAAGGCCTCTCTTTGTGCAGACTCTTCACAGCCAAATCATTTAGCAGATTCTGTTGCCATACTCCTCTGCGACTGAACAGCAGCTTATCAAGGTTCTTCTCAAACCTAGCTCTGTATACTTTCAGAATTTTACCACAGGCTGTTCATATCCTCTGCATACATGTCACTGGAACCTGCAGAAGACCCTTCCTTTATAGCCAATCAAAACGAGGCTGCTAGAGCTCCTGCTTCCATTTGGGGCCTAAAACAACTGGATTTGTTTCCAAACTGGCACCACTGGATTTTTCCCTCCTTCCACACAAGTAAACTTGACACACGCCAATAATCTGAGCTACATTTCAAAAACCTCTACTGCTGTTTATAATTTTCTATACAACCGATTTGCTGAAAGCTTTGTTTTAACCTAGGAGAGGTGGGTGATGGGGGGGGGCAAGCACCAGCTTAAGGTGTTTTGTTTGCTAACTGCAGGTGCAAAATAGAACCCAATTTTCTTCTAAATGCTGAATAACATGCTTTAAATCCTTGTTTTCAAAAAGATTTCATGTAATACCAACCCGGAAATATAGGGCATTTCCAATCCGGAGCGGCGGGTTTCTGCTGCTCCCCTAAGAAAACACGGCATCCTGAGGTTTCCCCTCTCGCTAAGACGCACTGGTGGCCAACTCGGGCCCCTTGTCCTTTTGTCCCCCTAGACAATCTCTGGCCTAATTTTGGACAAATCCTCCACTGATCACTCCTCCCCCACCGTGTATTCCTGCGCTCCCTTAATTAGAAACCGTACCTCGGAATCGTGCCTCTCCCCCCTGCTGCGTAAAAAGAGATCGCCTGACCCTCCACCTGGAGAACAATGTAACCCAACTCCGGTCCATAGATTCCTCCAGCCCAATCCCAAGATTTATCTCCGGGAATCTGAAGGCGCGTTGTGTCCGGTCCTCCAGCATCAAGGCGTCCAGCTACCTCCTGGCCGTGGGTTCCCCGGCTGCCCTCCACCTGGGGACCGCACGCCCACCTTCCCGTTCCCTGAGCCTCGCCCCGCATCCGTCCCCGGGACCCCTCGGCCGCTCCCCGCCCCGCACCTTTGTAGTGCACCCGCAGGTTGTTCTGCGAGAGGCCGATGTAGCTGAACTTGTCCTTCGGGCTCCAGGACCGGGGCAGCGGCGTCTCCTGCTCGTCCACGGCCGGGTACAGGCGCTTCAGCCGCCGCTGCAGCTCCTTCTCCTGCTCGTTGAGGGCCGAATCCCCGTGCGGGAAAGGGGCCGCAGCGCTGCTGCTCGCCAGGCCGGGGGCCGGGACGCCCGCGGCCGAGCCTGAGCCCGCGGCCAGGCCGGGCGGCGCGCTGGCGGGGGCAGC